TTCAAAACAATTATTTAAATGAAACTACCCTGAGTTAAGACAGAAATTGGTATTGCCTCCAAAGAGGAAATTATAAGCTTTCTTTTGAGACCAAAATCGTTTCTGAAATATTAAAAAAACTGTTTTATGTGTATTTGAAATTTTCAAAACAATTTTTCTCAAAATGACTCTTGTATAACAAAAATTTCAAAGTCCTATAACTTAAACCAACAAAATCGTAGATGCATGGGACTTGCACCAAGTGATTCAGAATTTAATAAGGATTTCAAATATATATATTCGCTTTCCACATCCATATTTTATGGGAAAATCACTGATGAAAATCAAAAATTGGAAAAAAGCCTGGAGATACCATGGATTAATACCTACCTACATAGGTACCAAATTTCATCAAAATCGGGCTACAGGTGTGGTCTGTAGCTCTGTGCTCATCCACACAGACATCACTTCGAAAACCTTTTTTTTTGGTTCAGGGGGCCCAAAACGGAGACGATATATATCCACTCAAACTCAAAAATTTTGACTAAAACAATACTTTCTCCATATACATAGCCTATGTATATTATATTATATATTATAGGGGGAGAAAGTAAAAGTGTGTTATTGTTATAGAATTAAAGAAAGAAATTTGTCAAATTTGATCAAAATACCCATAAACAAGAAAACTACCAGTTTCCTTATTCTCCATAAGATTAAAATGAGAATTTAAAATGTTTACTTTTTTGGAATTTTATGAGTTACCTTAAATTGTACAACAATTCTTCAATATACAAAATTGATTGGTTTTTAAGCTCTACACAATAAAAACTGGTCATAAACATTTGGAAAAACAAATTTTTGAACAATCAATAGTCTACAACACCAGTCTTGCTGGTTCACAATCTTAAATCCAGCTCTACACATTCTTGCCAAATTTCATCAAAATTGGACCAAAATGATTTAAGTGATCGTGTTTTGATACTTATAATATATATGTATTTCATGAAAATTAAAATATATATACATATATTTTTATACGAATAGTGTTTTTGGCCTCTGGTGGTTTTAGGTTTTTGATCAACATGAAAAAGTAAATCAGTCCTGGGTCTAGGTCTGTCTTCTTGTATGCCACATACGGTAATAGCTTATTCCCTAGAGGGAAATTCGCACAAACAAATTAAACAGGCAGCAGGCACAACATAGAAACAAAACTTTACATGGTGGGCAGGCAGAAAACGGCCAAGATTTTTTTTATTGCCCTTTTTATTAAATGCACAGTTAAGATTTTTAACAAGGTACTCAGCATTGCTGCAATAGGGGTCTATTTACTTCTTGTTGTCAAACTCTGGATTCCTGGAGAAAGCTTGTTGAAGAACTTGATGGCGGAGGCGGGGAAGAAGTTAAGCATTCTTCTTAGACTAGCCCGAAGACATCGAGATCCTGCCCAGCTCTTCACATAATTACAATTTTAAGAGATAGACAGAACACAATTTGCTTTGATATACAATTTTGTAATAATGATTTTAAGTTAAATCACACTGACACATTCTGAGGATGAGTAGCAACCACATTATATTTTATTCTATCATTGACTTAATAATGTCATAGACATAGACTTTGGATATTGCAAGTAAATTCACATCCTTCACATCCAAGTAAATTCCAAGTATTGAAGAAATGTGAAACCTAACACCAATAAAACTTTTTATTTACTTTGCTACCGTACCATGTTACATGCTGTATTCCTATTTAGCGCATTCAGTTAAATTATAGTTGAGGATACAAATTTATTGTCAAAATAGTTGGGATACAAATTTATTGTGGAAACAGTTTGAATGCATTTACAGTAATGCGACGAGCCACTTTTTTCAAGTATAGTTTAATTATATTTCTAAAATCAATGGTGGATGTGTAACTATTTTATATTTAGAGATCCCTCCGAAATATCATGGAGAAACACTGTTTCTGACTGATTGCTACAATACAATACAATGTATACCTAACATGTTGATATGTCAGTCCAGTGCTGCCAGAAACCGAATATGTAACTTGTTTTCGGGTATTTTTGTATATTCTGTCGTGACACTGAGCATACAACTGGAAGTGATGAAGATGTTGCAGATACACATCCCCTTTTTCGACTACGAGATATTTAGGAAGAAAGTCTAAAGAGAATTTTACAATCCACTAAAGGGTTATGGCATACAATTGTACGGGAAAGAATGCCAATAAAACCATGGTTCAAACAATCAAACACTGAAGAGTGTCTGAAGATAGCTAGACGGTCCCAATTCATAAAAAAGGTGATTTTAGTGTAATTTCAAACTACCTACCTATTTCTATATTATTGCCGTTGTTGGCCGCGGACCTTGGCGCGTCCCCAGGCAAACAACACCTTTGAGGAGGGAGGTATTCTTGCTTTAACTATGTGTGACCTCAGTAAGGCATTTGACTGTGTCAGCCACAAGATTTTGCTTGGGAAGCTGTCAGCTATGTAGTAAGTAGCGTTGCATTCCATTTGCTTACTGACTACTTATAGACAACCGTAAGCAGATAGTGTCCTTGGAGGGAGCTGTCTCCAAATGTAGTCCTGTGGAGCATGGCGTCCCACAGGGATGTATTCTTGGCCCTCTGATCTTAATTATACACATTAATGACCTGGACCTGAATGGAAAGACCCTTCTTTTTGCCGATGACTCAACCTTAGTAAACAGAGGAGCGTTGAAGACGTTCTGTCAGATGCCAATGAAACCTTCACCTCCTGCTAAAGATTGGTTCCAGAGCAATAAGTTAAAACTGAATGAAGATAAGACTCAAAGAATATTATTGTCTCTAAAAAGATAAATTCCTGCGAGGAACAATGAACCAGTCAAAATTCTAGGCTTCTGGCTGGATAACAGGCTTGATTGGAACGTTTGTGTGGCCAAGGTCTGTGCAAAATATCAAGAGTAATTTGTGTTCTTAGGAAATTGACAAAGGCGTTGACTGTGGACCACCTTCTGGGAATTTATCATGCCTTGTTCCATCCACAGTCATTTGAACTGGGGACACTCGGCTGCCTGCAGTGGTGCTCTTATTCTCCAGAAGAAGGCGCTAAGAGTTATGGCTTCGACTCATGACCTTGAACACTGTAAACCTCTAAAAAAAATAGAATCTTCACAGTTTATAACCAGTATATTTTCAACTCTCTAAACTATATCAAATAGAATATCAATCTATTTAATGACAGAACTACCATAGACCAACATCGAACTCGTAAATCTTAAAATCTGGAAGTCCAAAGATGCAGGCTGGGTAAAACACAAAAATCCTTTCCAATTGCAGCCATAAAACTGTTCAACAGCCTCCCAGCTGACGTGAAAAGCCTTACAACTTCAAATTTCAAGAACCACATCAAACATGAACTTTCAGAATGGCCAGTATACACCCTGAACGATGCAGAAGAAATCCCACTATTCACGGGAAAGAAATAACCAAAAGGTTTTTTTTTATCCTTGGCCCCCCTCCCACGTAGTTAGGTATGCCTGATATGGGCCCATGGCAATAAAGATCACCTATCTCTGCCATCCCAAAGAATCCCTTGAACCTGTAGATCATCCTATCTTTAATATATAATTAGGTACATTAACAAAAACTAAAACAATATCAACATGAATCTTTGATTGAGCACATTTATGTTCAATAACAAATTAATTGTAAACTAACAAATAACCTTAATTGCAGGATGAATTGGAAGCAACCACAACTAACTCAGTGTACATCGAGGCTGCCTGGTCTATGGAATCGAAGCCTACTAAGCAATCTATTAAAAAAAATAGTCGCTACAGCACCACCGAATGGGCATACGGGAGGGACGATGGCTAAAGGTGTGGTGACGTCATATCTATAGTTAATGCCTTATCTTGAGGCAACACGATTACCTATTCAATATTAAAAACAAAATTTCCAAAATATTTTTTAAACGACTTTAAAGTTGTAGCTGAAGAAAGTGTAAGAAACTCACGTTCTGCTTCAGTAACTTTGTGTATGCCTCATCATAGAACGGCAGTTTATGACAGAGCGTTTGTTGTTTCTGCTTGTCGCTTTTGGAATGATCTCCCTCTAGCCATAAAAACCCTTGATAGCCGTCCCTGGTTTGTGACAGCACTAAAAAATCTGTTTTCTGGACGTATGGCCATGGTTGGTTAGGCGTGCGCTTGGTCGATCACTGAGGCTACGGCCACACGGGCGTTTTTTTCACGCACAAACGCAGCGTGAAAACACGCGAAAAATTAGAGTAGCATTGAAACAAATAGGCGCCCGCTACTGCAGGAAAACACACTGCGTGTGGCATACCTCATTTAATTTAATGCTGATCATATTTCTTGCGTTTTTTCACGCTGCGTTCTTGTGTGAAAAAACGCCCGTGTGGCCGTAGCTTAAGTGTAAGAGAGGGCCATGTGGCCCTAACTTTGCCTGATTAAATAAATCATTTTTCATGTATACTCCGTTCAGACAGCCGTGGCACCTGACGGATTAGGACACCCCATGGAAACCCTTGGGGCCTCCTAATCCCTCAGGTGCCACGGCTGTTTTAACGCACTTATAATTTCATTTCACGATTACCGTAACGAGACGTTGTGTTTCCAGCGGCGGTCGTTGCATAGTTGGTAGCGTTTCGGACTGGTGTTCAGGAGGTCTTGAGTTCAAAACCCATGGAGGACACTAACTTTTTGTCAAAGATTTTGCTTTATTTGATTTTTATCTTATATCTTTTTATATTATCAGCAAGTTTTGTTGGTTAGGTTACGTTATGGCAGTTTAATTTTATAATTAAAAAGGTAATTTTATAACTAAAAAGTTAATTTCACAACTAAAAATTATAAAATTAATTAACATTTTTCAACTTAGCGGTTCTAGCGGCAAACGTTGACACTATGTTAGCCATCGTCCCTCCCGTGTGCCCCACCGCACTCGCTCATCCTCATGACCTCATCCTCATCTGTCAATGTCATTCTGTCTCTGTGTATGTACCTAACTACTGTAACTTAACCTCAAAGTCAAACAAACCTGTAGCCCTGTAGGTTTGTTTAGGACGTTTAGGTTAAGTAAGAAGAGGGTGAAGAGGCACGACGCGAGGTCAATCCGTGATAGGGAGCCTATATTTTTCACATAGATCATAGACCTCATAAAATACTTAATTAGAATAAAATGTATTATTATCATTAACAAAAGCTGAACTTAAAACGCTCGTCATACACAATGAACAAGTCAAGAATTTTGAGAATCGGTTTGCTATGCATCCTTGTGTTTTGTTTCTTGACTGTCTATATTTACAAAAAGGTTTTAAACGAAAGGAAATTAGGTAAAAACAAATATTTAGTTATAAATATACAATCTATGTAATAGAGTCATTATTCATATTATTTAGGCTAACGACAGTAGGGAGTCTAGGGCCAAACCTATTCAGGAATGATGGCTGTATAACAGAATAATAGGCCTAGGATAGGGTTGCCATGAATGATGACTGTTGTTGCAGATGCAGAATTTCTTTTAAATTCTACATAAAAGTTTGGTATAGATATTTGGACTTTATGAAGGTTAAAGTTAAGCCATTTAGGCCTATAGGGGTGAAACTGTAAATAATCAGTAATTGGTAAATTGCAACTAACCTAAAACAGCCTAGGTATATTTTGTGCACTCATAGGGATAGGAGATGTTGAAGTCTTCAGTGGTAGTTAGTAGCCTAAACTCACCTAGTGAGGATACCTACGCCACTCTCCCTGTTAAGTTAGGCAACATCTAGCTTTGTTCCCAAGACAAACGTAAGCATACTAATGAAAATAATTTCATTAGGCCTACCTATTATTTTTCTTGTTGTAGGCCTAACATGTATTTTATATGAATGACACATGGGATTTTGCTTTGAAAATGGTATGATATAGTGGAGAATTTCATCTAGATCACAACTCTAATGTTTTTTCTGTTGCTTTAAAGGACAGTTATTGCAATCTAGCGGATAAGTTATGGATACAGTAGAACTTCCTACAAGTATTCTTCCTCTTATTAATTAAGCCTTAAACTTACATAACTTACCCACTAAAAAGCATGTGTTATGGTATGTCCAAAAAAGAGGGAATTATAATGGGACATCGGCTTAGTGATGTGACTACGATAATCTTTTCCATTGACCTCTTGTAGCTTCATTAACGACACCATGGAAGTGACTTGGTCATGCATGTTTAGTCTCGATATTGTACACATGAGCGAAGATTAGGTGCTGGATCTTTGGAATGTTTGCTCAACCGGGAAACGTTATTTTTCTGGTGCAACCCCTGTAGTCATCTGAAGAAACGGAAGCCTCCAAGGTATTTCTTGGATAAAGGTGCCTCCACACAAATTTGTAATCTTGATATCTTATTTTATGGTTTTTTTTACCTCCTGAATCCAAATATAGGCTAGCCTACCATTAATTTTTTACGCAAATTAATATTACAGGTTGATATCACTTTTCAATAATACCATATAAATAGCTTTTTATCTGAGTGGTTATAGTAATCACCTAGCAAACAAAGGATGCGAGTTAGATCCTGAGAAAAGTCAGCAGCTTTTTGATGGTTCGAAACTGGAACCAGGCTGTTCCTGATCATTTGACTTTAATGAACCTGGTTAAAAAAACAGCAGATCTTAGTCAGTCACAAATCTACACATATTGCCACACCGTTCTATACTCATGTTTGGGTTAAAACACGCATCTAGGTGGCGTCCCCATCTCAATTGGTGATAGTAACATTATAAGGTGATATCACTGTTCAAATATACCATATAACTTTTTGGAGGTCTGTCATCGTAAGTAGGCTTAATTGCTGATGCTGCTAAGTCAAGTGAAGAATAAGAAAAGATTAGGAATACCTATAAAAAATATTTTCAAAATCTACTGTTGATAAAACGTTCCAAGTAATTTTTTAGTCGATAATGTTTCCCCTAGGGAAATTTGTCTTATCGAGATATAGATGGACAGGCAGGGGCATACTAATTACACGTAGTCTTTATATTCTAAACTTTACTTAATCTAACCTAACTTCAAAGGACTTAATGCTATAGGCCCTACCAAATTTGTTTAAAGAAAGAATGGCCTAAGTTTACCATCTTATCATGCCTTTACTGGTATCATAAGTAATATACTAAACATAGGTAGGAATGTAGCTAAACAACATAGAAGTTTGCTTAGGTCAGATTAGATTTGTATTCGTACCAGATTTTTCAGGTGAGTGCGCTACGAGTTTTAGGCCTTTTTCCCAACAATTTCCCACAGATTGTTTTATTCCACCACCCAATAACCCCGGTTCCTACCGGTCTCCTTGATTGTGTACTGTGTAGGTTACGATTTGCAAAATTTAATTTCCACCAATTTATTTTAGGTGTACTATGCATTATAGGTCTTATTTGAAGAATTTCAGTTTAAATTACTTTAAAATTTGAATTTTTTTCTTTTGGTTTACCGATATTTCAGGAAAAAATCATAATATAACAATGCTATTCCATAGGTTAACTAACTTAGTCTCGCTAATTAATTGCTTTCTATGCTTCCTTCTTAAAACTCAACAAAATAAGTCTTGCTTGTGTATAAACATAGTAAAACTTAAATAAGTTGTTTTTTACTCTTTTTTTATAGATAAGAAGATATATTCAGACAAGTGGAGCCATGACCAGACTATTTACACAAACAGACAAGAATATGTGAATAGATTATGTAAAAAGTTTCTGAACAATAGCTCAGAAGTTGAGAAAATTGATTTGATTTTAAACAACAGAGAACTACTTGAACATATACTTGTAGATTCCAAACATAAAGTTCTCTACTGTTATGTACCTAAGGTAAATGTTTGCTGCATTAGGTAACATCACAGAAAACGTACTACTATAACCCAGAATGCCAACCGCATGGTAAAAAGCATTAAGCGGTTTGAGAGAGCTTTGCCTGTCAATCCGTAGGCAGCGCCACCAGCGTGCTATTGACTGTAATCCTCACTAATAAATCCTCACTAATCCTCAATTGCTATTGCATGGCAGCGCTAGTGGCGCTGCCTACAGATTGACAGGCAAAGCTCTCTCAAACCGCTTAATGCTTTTTACCATGCGGTTGGCATTCTGGGTTATAGTAGTACGTTTTCTGTGGTAACATGTATGTACATATATTTTCATATTCAAGTGACGGCCTTTTCCATTGCACCAACCAGTGGTGCAGGATGTAACCAAACTCCAGGGCTACATAGAAATCAATGAATTCAGTGCCGGATTTACCACTAGGCCACCAAGACCGTGGCCTGGGGCCTTAGCGTTTTGTACGTCAACAATTTTCTACACACAAAATTGAACAAAATCAAGTGTTTATTTTCTAATAATAATAGTATGTGACAATGATGTCCCAGTGAACGCAGGAGATGTTAAAGATGTTCCCGTGATCTCAGGGTAGTTTTTTCCCCCCTAATGGGTGTTTTTGTGGATTCCTGGTGTATCGCTCCGTTTAATGTTTGGGATTTTTTTGTGATTGTCGGAGACGGTCATGATATCACCGAGATCGTAAGATGTGTTTAAATGGTTTCGCTGCTATGGTGGCTGGTGGGAGACAACCAATGTCTCCACGATGGGGGTAGATGTTCATGATTTGACTGCAATCCTGAAACCATCAAACGGGATACCTAACTTCAAGAAGCATGAAGCGTGAGTCATGTTTGGCTACTTCAAGTTTTATTAATTAATTTATTTATTGTTATTCATCCAATCTTAACAAATAAAGTACGTTATCATTGAAAATTACATAAAATGTACTAACATTTTTGTCTTCTGCAATTTTTTGGTTAGTTAACGGTTTTCGTGAAATTTGGCATAAAATATTTTAAATGGCTGCCATTTTAAAACGGTTGATAATTTTTTGGTATAATTTAAAACAAAATTATACGATACACATTTTTGCGAAATCCCAACGCTGAATCTCAAACCGTTTAGGAGTTATTTAATCTTTTCTAAAAAACATATAAATACTGACAGATGGAAAACTATAGTCCTCGCCACCCTAAGTTGAGGCAGCCCAAGGCCGCCCGGTGTATATCTAGTGCGGCCTTTGGCTGCCTCAACTTAGGGTGGCGAGGACTATAGGCACCACGGAACCATGTTCCTATGGTGAAATGTGTTTGTATTGACCTAAGCAGTACCCATATACATATGTCCAGAGAGTTGGGACAGCCTGTATAAGATAAGGATTTGTATAGATCTATGATTATAATGAGTTGTTTGAAGTATATTCCTCTGTTATAGGTGGCGTGTACCAATTGGAAGAGGGTTTTCATGGTCATGATAGGAATGACCAAGACATCGGACATATTAGCCATCCCTCCATCAACTGTTCATCAACAACATTACATCCCCTCTCTCATTAATTTTACAAGTGCTCAAGTCCAGGGAATGCTCCGAACATATACTAAATTTATCTTCGTTCGCCATCCGTTCGAAAGGCTCGTATCTGCCTATAGAAACAAGTTTGAACAGCAGTACAACAGTTCAAAGTACTTCCACAATCGATTTGGTCGTAAGATTGTTAAAATCTTCAGAAATAATCCTTCGCCTCTTTCACTACTGAACGGTGACGACGTGACTTTTGCAGAGTTTGTTGCTTATTTGACATCTAAAAACAGTGTATTTAATGAGCATTGGATGCCCATCAATAAACTGTGTGAACCGTGTTTAGTGAACTACGATTTTATAGGTAAATATGAAACATTGAATGTCGATGCTCAATATTTTTTGAACTATGTCGGAAGTGATATATTATTTCCAAGAATTAAACCCACCAATACATCCAGTCTTGTAACTAAATCCATGTCTCAATTACCGTATAACAGTATTATTAGTTTATATAAAATATACTATAACGATTTCAAACTATTCCAATATAGCTTACAAAGTTATCTAGGATATGAGCTAGAATGAAATTTAATTAAATTGAAATTTAATGCTGCCTAAAATAGTCCAAGAAAATTCAAGAAATTAAATCATGATAAAATATGTGAAAACCTACTGTGAAGGTACCATTCCTAAGCAACGTGTATAGCGACTCTAGCCGTGACTGGGGTCACACAACCCAAGTAGCTTGGACTGCTTGCATGAGCAGTTCAGTCACGCCAGCCCATACAATTAAGTGTCTGCTTCAACACACACATTATCAGGTTTATCTTGTAATGTTCTCAGATTAAACAATTTTCAGATTAGTATATTGTTTTTGAATTTTTATGTTTCATTGTATACTGTTACCTTTGACTATGTAAATGGTGTACATAGTCAGAATGAACTTTTTCAAAAAAAAGCTTGTATATATTTAATCGTCCTGTAAAAGATAACTCTCGACTTGATTAACATTTTTTAAAGTTCCGCTATGCGTTGTGATGCTTACAGTGGACATGGCCTTTTGTTAATCATGTTTGTCCTTCCACCTTTTCTTGCAATACAACAAAGGTAACACATTTGCTGTACCTGTCAACTACGGGAGTTATGGCCCCTACAGTTTTTGCTTAGGAATAGTACCTTAAGGTTGGGAACACACTACACGATTTTATTGCATGGGTAGGAAGGTAGTAAACACACCGTACAAGAAAGTTACACCACAGTAATATTATAATAAAAACATAGTTAGTATTAAAAAATATTGACATTACATCTTGTTAAAGAAATGAGTTGAGGTAATTTAATTTAAAATAACGATAGAACAAAGAAAACACCATAAATTAGCTTGAAGTTAACAAAGTAAAAGAATTGAGAAATTTATATGTAAATTACCGAACTTATATAAACATTATCAAACATCATAGTTGTATTCGATACAAACCCTAAACCAAATCGCACAATTAATTAATGTCAAGAACACTTGCAGTTAGTAAAGTAAAAAACACAGTAATTATAACTTATTACTTATAACTTATAAGTTATTGTAATTATAACTTAACAAATACAAAACTTACCCGTATGTAAAAATAAACAGCAAAAATTTATTTTTATATTTAAGATAAACTGATCCTAATAATTTTAGTAGAACTTGCAGTAAAAAATTTGTTTGAATAATTGAGAAAATGTCATGTTAAATATAAAAGCTATGTGATAATGAGGAGTATCGCTTGGTGTGACTGCCTCCACAAGACTGCATATGGGAGTGAACATTTGAAACATTCGTTTTTATGTCCCTGGCCTTTTACTTCGTAGATACTGAATATGTAGTTTATATGTAATATGTAGGTTCTAGGTATTTTTTTTGTATTTTTAAAGTCTCAAAACTCACGACCGTCACGTATCCCTAGGGTACATTTTGCAGCTTTCATGCTGTTTTTAGAATAATTATTCATGCCGAAATATATATAATGTCATATTTTTATTACATCAATAGTTATTAAATTTACGAAAAAGGAGCATATGATAATTTTTGTTTTCATTGAAAACTGACTACCATGACTAAATAGGTCTGTCCCTCGATTTGACGTCACGACCATTAGGGAAAAATTTGCAACTTTGGAGCGCGACAGTGGCAAGCCTGGCATTGACAGAGTCAGTTGGTTTTAGAGAATAGTTCGGGGTGTACGTCAGGATTGTAATGCCGGTCGTTTCGAGTTGAAAGGAGGAATTACAATATTAATAAAGGCAAGTTTCATGACCATACGTAGTCATTCGATGAAGTAGACACGGTGTTAATTTGTATTTATAAGATGTTTCCACTTTTTATTCTCGAACATGAGGTGCAGGGCTACCGCCAGAACAGAGCCAAATAACGTGTAATGTCACGACCATCGCGGGTTTTTTCACGACCAATCCAGCCTTATGGATTATACTTTGTTTGGTCGTGACAATAACTTAAATATCATTGTAAATTGAACAGTGTAGTTAAATTGAATCATATATTTTTATTATAACTAACAGTATAATTGAAGGATTGTTTAGAAGTATTTAGATTATTCCAGACAATTTACGACCGTACCGCTTGTCCCTGTGATTTCTATCATAAAAATTTCAAAAATTAATATATCATCATATTTTAATGTTGTATACACAAAAGAAGCACACCTCTATAAAAACATAACGATTTATCGGGTCTCATGTAAGTTTTTTCAGAGTTAACGAACTTAAAAAGATTTTATTGCCTTTTTTTATTTTTTTCTAGAAAGACCAAATATACCAAAATCTTAGTGAGCTGTTTATTTTATAATGGCCATAAAAGTTAATTAATTTATAGAAAAACATAGTTATAAAAATAATATTAACTATTTTTAATATTCAGTTTTATGTCCCTAATGGTCGTGACAAAATTTTGTGTTTTTCCATCAAAGATGCTCTATTAATAAAAAATCACCAAAGATATTGTGTTACCATGGACATTTTATGAAACTTCAAAAGTTAATGAAATAAAAAAATTATAAAAGTTTCAAAAATCGGAACAAAAAATTTTAAAAGTGCTTTTCCTGAAAACGTACGTTTCAGAATTTTCACTCATATGCCATCCACTTGTTTTCCCCATTCATACAAGAATATCGCTCGAGTTTGTTGCATTATGCGATTTCCCCGCACTAATGTGACATAAGATTCTATGAGTTCTACTTTCAAGCAATCTACACTAAAAAAAAACGTCCAGTGTGATCTCAGCTAATATTAACAAGTTAAAAGTACATATTTAATACTCCAGAACATATGATCAACCCTCCAACTCTACAAGATTTTCTTCCATCATTTTTGTACAGGGTGATTTTTTACTGGTGTGATAAAAAAAGAAACAAATTAATGAAAAATAACTTCTATCACCATGGTAACGCATCAATTCATGCACACTTTCCTACTACTGAAGGTGTATTCCGTCCGTAAATATTGGATGCTGACTTCCAAGTTGTATCGAGTCTTTGGCTTGTTAGCATAGAATAGTGACTTAACATATCTCACAGACAATAATATCGCGACATTATTAGAGCCAGTTAACATTACCTCTATACGAGACAATGACCCCCAATGTCCACAAGACCTCCATACCATTGAGGCATTACTATTGTGTCATAATTGTGGCAATGTGATAAAAGAGCTTTAGAACGATTCCTTGAGGCCTTCCTATCATAAGTTGGTAGGAGCATGGATTCTTTGTTAGTATTACCTTAAACTCGTCCATAAACCTCTGTGATTTTAACTTACAACATCTACAGGGTGTTTCAGAATTTGTGTGGGATATTTTAGGGTATTATTTCCGGATAAGAAACATATCCAATTATCATATTTAAACCGTCCGGAAGTCCTTAGTTACTCAAAAGCCGCCATTTTGTTTTTTATTTATTAATTTTTTTTAATGGTTAAACATACAAAATATAAAATTTGCACAAACATTTATGACTACTAGACAAAGCTGCAAACAAATTATGACAATTCTTCAAATTCATAAAAGAAAATGTCGGCCATTTAAAATTTAGTTTCTTAAGCAACTCAAAAACTGTTGATTTTACAAAAATAGACAAGTTTACCCTTTTTAAGGCAATTGAATTACAAATTGATTGACTCCTTACTTTTTAAGATTGGACGAATATTAACTGAGATATGGCAGCTTTAGTGATACGCGACCGCCGGAGGTTAGTTGCAGTGCATGCCGAGGATTATTTCACACAATAATAAAATATTACATAACACTAAAAGTTTATTATTTTCTTATCAATTATCTTCTATCATTAGGATGGCTTAAAAATTGCACTAATTAGTTTGTAAACATGTACGTAGACTTTCACCACAGCTGATATAAAAAGTTTGGGTGTTTTGTGTGAAATTTTAAAGACAGTAAAAAGGTGTGCAATTTTTAAGCCATCCTAATGATATATAATCAGGGCCAATTTATCGAATAGGCTCGAGGCAATTGGCTTTTTGGGGGGCGCAAACAATTTGGAAAATAAAAAAAAATTGTGGTTGTAATTGCATGCAGGCGCGGTTAACTTCTGATAATTCCTCGCGGCCGTGTAGACATCGTAATCGTATCCCAGGATTGCGACAAAGTTCTGAATATTTTCCGCAGTCGTGAGGAGATTATCATCGTCTACCGCGAATGAGGTGAAATTCTGACCTTTTCCCGTGGTCGTGAGGACATTATCCTCGTCTTACACGATGGCGGTAAAATTTTAATCGCCCCCCGCGATGAAGACATCATTATATCGTCCCCTGGTCGTGTGGACATAGTGATTTTCTCCTGCTATTGTGGCAAAATGGTAATCATCTCCCGCTGACGTGGAGATTATCGTCTTCCATGAATGAGGCAAAATTCTGATCTTTTCCCGCGGTCATGTGGACATTATCTTGCGCGATCGCGGAAAATTCTGATCATCCCTCGAGGCCGTGTGTAGACATAATATCGTCTCCCGTGGTCATGTAAACGTCACTGTTTCATGTGCGATTGCGGATAATTGAAAACTCCAGGTAGAAATACAAAATTCACGTATAATTCAAAGTTAAAAAAAATCCCGCATAATTCCCGGGTTTTCCGGTTGGTGGACACCCTGTTATAAATATTGCAAAAGGGTGCTACTATTAGTTGTGCCTAGGGCGTTGGCACCGTCAAAAATGGGCCTGTAGATAATTGATAAAAAAAGATACTTTTAGTGTTATGTAATATTTTATTACTGTGTTAAATAATCTAAAATCGCTTAAAAATAACTTGCAAAGCAGAAGGAGACTGTTGCATTGTTGTGGCAGACTTTATCCACTTTATGCACTGCATAGCAACTAACTTCCAGTGGTCACCTATCACTAAAGCTGCCATATCTCAGTTAATATTCGTCCAATCTTAAAAGGTAAGGAATCAATTGATTTGTAATTAAATTGCCTTAAAAAAGTTATTCTAGTAAAATGTTTGTAAAATTAACGGTTTTTGAGTTATTTAAGAAACAAAATTTTAAATGGCCGCCATTTTGTTTTATGAATTGTCATAATTGTTTTGTAGCTTTGTCTAGTTGTCATAGACATTTGTATGTGCAAATTTTAAATTTTGCATGTTTAACCATTTTTTTTATATATAACTAATAAAGGAGAAAACAAAATGATGGCTTTTGAGTAACTAATTACTTCCGGACGGTTTAAATATGATATTTGGATATGTTTCTTACCCAGGAATAATGCCCTAAAATATAACACGAATTCTGAAACACCCTGTTTAATATTTATGAGGGATTCAATAATTCCTTAGCTTTATGTTTATTGTGGTAATGATCTAATAAACGTGTTTATAAAATGTTATTTTTCTTTTTTTCTAGAAATTGTATGAACCGGTACTTAAATTTGTGATAACATACCAAGTGGTAGTTAGTTCAAAAAGGAATAAGGATGAAGTTGTATTTTAACCATCCAATAATGTGTCAACTGTTTAATGTTAACTCATGACATTGAAACTAGTCTCTTTTTTTAGTATTTTGATTTTATATGTAGGAGGGATTTAAGGATTTAAACATCGTAGGTGCCTTAAGGAAGATATTTGATAAAAAATGTGTGTTAATTATAAAAAATTTCTAATACTTGCACGTTATGTATTTTTTTGGACAAATAATTGAATTTGCACTTCAAAACAGGCTTTTTCGATACATTTTGATTGTCTATCTGAAACTTAAAATATTTTGGATTTTTATTCTTATAAAATTAGGGAAAATCTTAATAAAAATAGGCATGATTAAAAAAATGTTTAATCATAGGTGCTCAAAGTGTTTAACTAAGTCAGTATTGTAATATTGTAATGAAAATATCTGACTATGATATCTTATAAAATCAAAACTGTACTTGTAGGCTAAATAGTAAACAAAGAAATTGTAATCAATAAATTTGTATGATTCTATATGAGATTATAAATCTTAAACAAGATCACATTTTTGTACAAAAGTTTTTGTATAATGTTTTCTGAAATATATATATATATAAGTTATATATATATTGGATGTTTTTTAATACCTACTTTTTGAGTCAATATATTTTTGATCAGAGAGTTAAGAATGTAACATAAAGCACAAGGCCATAGGTTTTTAGGATTTTTTGTGAGATCACGCTTACCTGAATGCAAGAAAGAGTACAAACTGACACAATAAAAACAAAAGTTACATTTTACTCAAAAGATTCTCACATTTTACTGTCACTGGCAGCATTTTGAAGCAATGTTCAGGGCCACCATTGGACCCATTGTTCAATATATTTTCTAATATTGGGTAAAAAATTTAACTAAATATGTGCTTTGTTAATTTTTTTGCTTTGCCTTTAATGTTGTAATATCATGGCTTTTATTTTGTCTTTAACCATTCATTACCAAGCAATGAAGCTATTTTTAGATATACTGTATTAAGTTGGTGCTAGTGCTATGATTTTTTGTTGCTTGTATGGTTTGTTTGATTGAGGTGTTTGCTGTAGCAATCTCGGTCGGTCTTGACTAATTGATACTGTAGAACTGCATCTTACATCACAAAGACTTCAGGAAATCTTTAGACTAGGTGCATTAACTAAGACTTAGTGTTTTGTGTTGTTTTTTACGTAGATTATCTTATCTTTAAAATAAAAATGACTATTGAAAGGGGTGAGTGGATGAAGGGGGTAAGTAACATTTTGTTACTTTTGAGATAAATGGACCTAAAGTTTGAAGGTTATAACTTTTTAATTTTTGTTCATTCTTAAAACGCTATTAGGAAGGGCAGAGAATTAAAATTGTTTGCGCAATACTTAATAAAAATTGAAATGTTCCTTAATATTAAAATTTTAACTTTTCTATTACTTACCTCCTTTATCCACTTAAAAAAAATTGTTTCGTAGTGGAAGAAGGGGTTTAAGTGATGTAAACGATTGAAATAAATTATTTTTGATAAAAAAAATACTTTATTTCAACATGTAACCATAAAAAGTACATTTAAATAAGGTTGTTGCACCAAAATAAACTTAAATGTAATAAGTAAACTTACTTATAAAGTCTTTATCATAGACTTTATATGCTGACTTGTAATTTTGACAAAAAAATAGTAACTAAAAGCCAGCTATGCAAAAGAAATACCACAATATTAAAAATACTAAATATTTATAAATGTGCAAGTAATAACTGTCTTTTATTAGATGCTTAGCAGTCTTATCTCTGAAATATTTCTAAGAAGTATTTCTTTTTCATGTACAATCTTTTACTTCTTGGAAGCAGTTACCTACAGTATAATGAATAGCTAACAACTCATTGTACTAAGTGGGTCCAATACGGTCCGATACATTTTTTAAACGCACTAAAATGCAAATAGGAAATGTTCAAGGTAATTTTCATTGTCAGCTAATTTGGATATGATGTTAGCTGCAGTACGTACGCTACTATTGCCTAACAATAAGGGGACTACTATAGTGCAGGGGACAAGTGCGCAAAGAGTTATGGATGAAGGGGGTAAGTGAAACTTTACATGGATGAAGGGGGCAAGTGAAGCACACAGAGAGTATGGATGAAGGGTGTAAGTGAAACTTTACGTGGATGAAGGGGGCAAGTGAAGCACTTACCACCTTTATACACTCCATTTGGGTGCATTTCCTGTACTTAATCCCTATGTTAGAAAAATAACTCAGCTGTTATTATACTTAGGACTATGGGAGTCAGTGTAGGCCTACTGTATAGAGCATCACTTACACCCTTCATCCATGCATCTTAACTAAATTTTTACAAAATTGTTACTTGTCCCCTTCATCCACTCAACCCTTTAATTGGTTGTACCGATTAGCCGCCGTTCATAACCCTTCAATAATTGTGGAATTGTTTTCCGTACTCAAGTGTACGAATCTTAAAGGTTTTACAGCTTCTGAGGAACTATTCAGTTTATTTATTGCTATTCCAGTTTTGTTCATAGCAATTTTCAATTAGTTTTCCTAGTTTGTTGACTCTGTGAACTGCATTTTTTCTTAAAAAAATATTTAACAATCAAGCAAATAGGGATTGAAGTGAAAAATGTACTCAGAGCAAAATATTAATAAAAATATATAATGTTAAAGACTTACCACTCTTTTAGCATTTGCCAAGCTACTTTTAGCAATTAGCATTTGCCATACAGATCAGTTTCTGATGAAGTATGGGATTTCCTCATTTTCCTGATTGGTTGGGCAGCCTACGTCCTTATCGGTCATGACTCTAAAACATTAACTACATTATTCAGTGCCGGGCTACCTATCTTCTTAAGTATCTCTATTATAATATCATGTGATCTCCTCGGTTTCCCAACATTTCCTTTCTAAAAAACTTTGGATTAATATCCCCATGCTGCACCCAGAATCCCCAGTGGTAGGTTAGAAAACCAAGCACTTTCCTAAATTCCCAAACACAGGTTTATTGCATCACTCATTGCCTATATTGATACTACTACGGTCATATTGGTAGGGGATAATTTTCAACTTATGAACACTCCAGTATAATTGTAGTAAGTACTCGTCCGTATAAAAATTTATTATTGGTTTAAATGTTAACTAAACAAATATAGTTATTTTAAGTGTGTTACAATTGCAATATCTGCTTTAATGTCTAGCTCGTTGTTGAAGTTGAACACCTGGTATATAAAGCATTTGGGTGTGTTGCTGTGGCGGTTCCATATGGGGGATGCCCCCTTCCATTAGACCCTGGAAAGATAAATTCAAACATACACTTCGCCCAAAAATTGTATGGAGATTTTTGGACACAGTTATAGATGTTTAAAATTGCCTTAGAAAGTCACCAAATGGCTTAAAAATATAAATTTTCCAGGAGAGGCGTCATAGTGATAGCACGTTTCCCATATTCCAGCTTTCCAAGATTCCTTCAGATCATCTGCACTGTCTGTGACAGTGTTGTAGTTGACATCTGCTTCTTCTGCAAAGTGTCAAATCGCCAAAATTGATTGTTTAATATTGACAACCGAATATTTAAAATGTTTAATATTGATATACTGGTATCGTTGTTATTATTTCGAGTTGATATGGGATAGTGTATTAATATCCTACAGTTCTTGAGACGGTATGGTGAAATATGTACCTATACACAATTAATTTTCAAATATAAATAACTATATTTTGTAAGAGCTCTATTTGTAAGCTAGATAACCTCTCCATCTCCACTTTTAGGGTAACAAGAAACTCCATCCATACTAAATATTTGGCAACTTAGCCTTAAAAGATGTGATTTTGCATAGCATATGGCTTGATCTCTGTTGCTTGATCTATGTTATACTCCTAAATTTTTACCAAATTTACTAAATATTTCATATTAACTTAAGTTATGTTTACATAATTTAAAGTGTCAATTCACTCAGATTCCCCCCCCCCTCTAAATATTAAGCTAAATTCCTTTCTACTTCCAGCTTAGGTTGACTTTCATTATACAAAATTAAATTTAAAACTAAACTTTGTATTTCAAAACTAACTTGCCATCTGTGAATGGCTCATTCAATAGCACTCTTTATGAATACAAATTTGCAACAGCTGGACCTTGGATTGGATGTTTTGCTTCAGTAAACAAAAAGGGAGTATGTTTTATCTATGACAAAAGTCAATGAAATTAGTTCAGCGAAACTTGCCACTTGCTAGCGTTCAGTAGCGTGAAACGACTAACCAGAACCAGAACCACTAAAATGGACAAGGAATGGAACTGGGAAGTGTTAACGTCATGAAATCGTGAAGTCAAGCTTACGTCATGGAACGTCATTTGAGCCTTGCGGGAACTCGACCCGCTACTTCCCTATAATAGGGAAATTCGCTAAAAAAAACCCGTATTTACTATATATAATTGCAAAAGTAAATTAAAGTAATTAAATCATATATTTTTTTTATCTACTGGGTTCGATATAATCAACATTTCTTGTAAATATTGTATCACTTTTCAAAAGATGGTCTTGTTTTAGCAATTTCTACAAATGTTTATTTTCCATTCATATAGCTGCATTATGTTGTATATGTTTACCTTCGTCATTAATAATGTAGCCTTAATGGTACTGCCATAGATTACAAAAACCTTACTTTTATGTACGATGGTCTATATAAATCATAACTTTCTTAACATTCTTTTCATCAAAATCATTAATAACGTCTGGAAAGTCAAGTGAGTTTTGCCAAGGGGCCCGGGCCCTGTGACCAGAACACCAGAGTTGCACCAGCCCCACCCTTGTGGGGGCCATGTTGCAAGCAGACAACTTTGCATTGCAAACCTACTAGCATAGATAAAACATACTCCCTTAGTGGATTTCTCATCCTTATGGAACAGCTGAAGACAATTTTATTGTTAGTTCGTGTACGGTTTATGTAGAGGTCGTGTTTTGTTTACAATTTGTTTCCCGTTATTACAGCCATTTAAAACCTCGTTTAACCAAATAATACGATCTAATCATAAACAATAAATTGTCCCCTAGTTATTTAACCAAACAGTAAAGCACAAATCAAGAAATTAACCCTAAAATAATAGAAACAAAATGTCGTCGACACTAGCGCCCAGTGTGGCATACATGAACTAGACATGAAAAACGAGCTTCAAAATTTACAATGGGATGAGAAGTCTACTTGTGTTGGTTAGTCTATGCTACTAGCTATTTTCCGATAGTTTTATTTTTATCTTGCCATCTGATTGTCGATATAATATGTATATATATATATATATTGCTGTTTTGCCGTCGGGATAAATAAACTATTATATACTCTATGACCCGTTGCACACACTGGTTGCACTGCTCGACCGACTTTTGTTTATTACTCAACAGATCTAAGTTACTACTACTTTTTAATTTCCACATCCCGCTCCCGTCCCGCTGAAATATTGTATGATTGTATACGAGTAAAATCATTCTACTAAGAAGAGTAAATACACTGTCAGATAATAATTATTAATACAAATCATGGCAAGTGAGAC